GGAGTCTCGCCGAAAGAACCCAGACAGGGACGGCCAGGCGGACGCAGGGAGTTGTATATGGTTAGTACGTCTGAAGCGGACTGTCTCAATTAGATTTGTTTGTTTTCCTTGCTACCGGAGCGATGTACCACATACTTCCCGGGGTATCCGATCAGAGATTTGCCCGAACGCGCCAGTAGGTTCTGTGCAAAGAGCCCCGAAGAGCTCAATACCTCAATACCTCTTAGCTGAGGATACTTTGCGGCGGGTTGCCTGGATTGTTTTTCCTTTTGGGGTCCTTGCTGTGATCTTCGTCAAACTTAATCAGATAGCCAATGCGAGATTTGGTCTACCTTTTAAAGTTTGAAATTTTCTGGGCCCGGCCATTGAAGAAAAGAGTCAAACTGACGTAGTCTTCGTGTGATCCGACGACCAGGACCATGCACCCAGAGAATATAGGTATATGAGGTATATGGTTCCTGATGGTAGGCTTTTAGGGTCTAATAGAGGGTAGACGGTGGGTCAATAGGGATGAAGCGGATCTCAGAGAGTGGCTCAGACGCGGTAGGGATTCCGCCTGTCAGAGTCCTCGACAGGCTTTTTCTGAGATGCATAGCATTTAATGAGGGGTTGGTGCGAAGTTAGTCTCAAAAGGTAAGGGATTGTAAGGTGAGGGCACGGGTTTTATGATTTCAACCTCAGCAGTCCCACCTGAACCTACTTTGTTGTGGGGTTCTCCTTTTGGTAGGGCTCTCTGGGCAGGTGGAAGTCTGCGGTGGGTCGTACCATTGCGTGGAAGCGCTCATCAAAGCGAGGGCGGATGTGAGAGCCAAGGCCGGACGTGCTTGGATTTTCAGGCCTTGCTACAACTCCTGCGTCCCTAAACCCTAAACTTGCCCTAAACCCTAAACCCGTGTTTGATTTGAAATGGAGTGTTGCTCAGCTGTCACGGGTGTTACAGCTGCTATTGCTTGGAGTCGTGAGGCTCTCTGTGCAATCGGGCTGGGACTGCTGCGCCAGGGGTAGGACATGGGTCTGTAGGGCCTTTGGAGAGATTGTAGGGTAGTGGGGTTTAGGGTTTAAGGGTTTAGGGTTTAGGAGCTTAGGGTTTAGGGTTTGGGGTTCGGGTAGTAGTACAATGCTTGGTTTGGGCTTTCGGGTTTAGGGCTTACGATCCGGGCATAGCACGAGCGATGGGCTTTGGAGTAACTATAGAGTTTGCGTGTATGTTTCTCGAGGGCAACAAGCCCCAGAGTCTGCAATGTGACACATGCAGGCCTTGACCATTTTGCATGCCCGATCATCCGCCCCTTCCGAACAAAAGCAAAATAAAGCCTCAGACACCCACAACACCCAAGCCTCTGCACTGAACCTTTCGATTTCAAACCTCGCAAAAAGATGTGCAATAGCTTGAGTCAACAACGGGAATTAGAATTCACTGATAGCTGCGAGAAAGCACAAAATAGATTCTCTCCACATCTTGAAAGTTTGCCATGGTTCCAGCAAGATTAGAACTTCAGTTCCGTGAACACTAACCCCCATAAACCCTAGCCCTCGTCCCCAAACCCTCAACCCGGTTTGCAACCCGCAGCACGGACCCACAGACCCGAAAGCCTAAGCTTACTTAAACCCTAAACCCTGAACTCACAGACCCGAAGCCCTAAACTTTCAGACCCACCTAGACCCCCCAACTGCCCTCTCATTTTAATGTACCACAGATACCCAGTATTAAGGGCCATACGGCCTCTATTACAGAGCCCTTTGGGGGGGTCCTGGCAGCAGGCCAAGACGAAGGACGGCGGGAAAGAAAGGCTCTGTGAGGCCTTCGGACTCGGAGGATTAGGGCTGATTGAGGCTCAGGATTTCGGGGCTAAGGGGTTTAGGAGCCTAGGGTTTAGGGGCTAAGGGGTTTAGGAGCTTAGGGTTTAGTGGCTAAGGGGTTTAGGAGCTTAGGGTTTAGTGGCTAGGGGTTTAGGGTTTTTGAGAGTTTGGGGTTTCAGGGGTTTGGGTTTCTGATAGATGTTTCCCACTTGTCCAGGCAGCCTTTGCTTTTTGGTGGTTTGTTAAAGTACTGCAATACAGGGTGTTTGGACCCTTTGGGCTCAGTTTCAGCAGTAGGGTTTGAGGTTTTGGAAGTTTCGCTTCAGCGGTAGAGTTGTAGGGTTTCGGATGCTGAGAATTGCTTCCGCTGATTTTGGCTTGTCTCGTAAGTTTTTTCGGTATGATTCAGGGTTTCTGTCGCTGGCAGGGATTTGAGAGTTGCCTTGACAGTAGGATGCAGGAGATGCAGCGCAAGCGTATTGTAGAGGCTTTAACAAGTAGAATCGGTTTTGGTGTTCTGCAAGAACTCCCTGATGAGGACTTCTGTTTAGTCTATTGAGGCCTGCATGAGTACATAGCAACAGTTCAGATTAAGAGTGTTTCGGATTTAGGGCTTAGGGCGGAAACTTTGAGAGCCTGCAACCAGGCCATTCACATCGCAGCGGGCAGCGGCAACCATGAGCTCCATGGCCTACATTTATGTGTCCCTTTGTTGGTTGTTGTTTGCGTGTGCGTTCATCTTCTTGCTGTGTATTTTGTGTGTTCATCTTCTGACTCGCTTTAGATCTATCACCATTTCTAGTAGGTGTTTTTTGTTGCTTTGAGGGGTGGGGCGAGAGCTTGTTGTTAAGCCTCCAGACTTGGTAGTTGTTGTTTTGAGTTTGTTCCGGTGAAACGTCCAAAGGGATGTGAGGATTCTTTAGAACCCGCTGTAATCCTCGAGCCGTATAGACCCATACTTTCCTCATACACGTGAGCAGGATATTCAGAAGCTCCTACTGTTGTCATTTCTACTATTATCCATTATTTTTGTATCTATTCTTATTGTATCTATCAGTGTATGCCCGGATGTCACAAGCCGACGGGCAAAGGATCGTTCGACTCTTGGTGGAGAACAGCGCGAACCCCGAGTCCGAGGCCTTTGTGGTTGTCTTGCATTTAAACGCCTACTGGTATCGGCTTGGGGCGGAAGTTGTGAGTTTCAAGGTTCTCGAGATTAGTTTCGGTGCTGAGTTTCGGGGCGGAGTCTCGGAACATGGTCCGGGACAGTTTCGGATCAGGACATGGTCAGTTTGGGGTCTCTGGTCTCACGCCATGGTCCGTTTGACGGCCAGGTCAGCGAGAATCGGACCGAAACTGCCCACATCGCCTCCCGAAGCCGGAAACTGATTCCCGCTGTGCCGAAATTGGGCGCCGAAACTGTCCTCCTATGATCCGAAACCCCCGGCAGCCGATCCGAAACTAGAACCCCGAAACTAAGGGTGCCCGGCTTGGGGCTTTCAGTCAGTCGGAATTTGCGGGGTTTATATATGGTTTGCTGATTTAGGGTTTGTGGAGTTTTGCCTGTGGCTCCACTGGTCTAATGGTGTTGTACCGCTTTATATGTCTTACAGTTAAGAGGTCGCTGTCTACTATTCTGTAGGGCTTGGGGTTTCACGTGTTAGAGTGCATCGGATTAAGAAATCATGGGATTTAAGATACATGAAGACTTGTTGAGTTGTCGCACAGCTGGATTCTTGAGAGAGAAACCAAGGATCCTCGAGTAGCCGCGGTTTTGTCGACACGCTGGTGTGTGAATGCTAGAAAAGAAATGGACCAGAACAGGCTTTATCCCGTCGCCAGGCCACTGTTGATGGCAAGCTCCATTACTACCCCATTCACGACGCAGCTCCTCGATTCGAATGTGGGAGAGTTGGCCTCTTACCGGGTCCGCGAGGTATCCTGAGGAGACCCGTTGGGGACATGTAGGTTGAGGCGATCAAGGAGGGCAGTTTGGGTGGTTCTGTTGTGCGAAGAAAGCCCTCTACGGAGCGCACCACCATGCAATGGAAACTGCCCCAACTTGTACAGTAGCGGGCTTCTAAGCAACAAAATATTTATATCAGGGCCCTTCGTCCAAAGCCTATATCAGGGTCTTCATTGCACCTAATTGGAAGGCGGGTCGTGTAAACGGAACCTTCAACATTCTTATCGAAGAGGCACTGCCTGTAGCTTTTCCATGCTGTTGGGTTCAAGGGTGCATCCCGGCTTCGGGCTTCAACATAGGGGCTTGAACATAGCTACCTGGCTTTACGACCAGATGCCCCCAAACCTTGCTAACTGATTCAGTATCATTCAACCCTCATAAAATCGAGGAGTTTAAGAATTTTTTATGGGTTCAAGGACAGCTTACGGAGTTGATGGAGATCGTCCCCGGAAGTTCCTTCCAGGGTCCTTGAAAGGGGCTCTATGAGTCTGATTGAGTTGGGTTCCTATACGTAAGGGTTACTACTAGTGTTTATTGCTTAGGGTGTTGATCCATTTTGTTTGTCCAGGCTTCTGTCCAGAAGCTTACTGTGATTTTGGGCTTAGGGTGGTAATGTTTGCCGGTCGTCCGTATCACATCTGTACTTTCTAAAACAGATGTTATGTACATATTCCACAGTGGCTACTACCACACTCTCGACTACACTGTAGTTGTTGCTCAACACCTGCTTCTAGTGCATTGTTATGTTTCTTCGTCTCTGACGGTCGCAAGTGAGTGCATTTTGGTGATGAGTTGTGTCTCTCTGCTGCAGTCTACTCAGAAAACCTTGTAAAGTCTCAAACCCCAAAGGCCCTAGGGCCCTAAAACCTTAAGTTCTTCCTATACTCTATACCCGAAATAAGCTTGATTGCTGTCCCAACAGTTGCGGTGGCCTACTCGGCAGCTGAAGGAGCAAAGGTGGCTTCCTCTTTGAGGGGTTCTAGGGTTTTTGTGTAGAGTGTTGAATAGTTCTATTTTTCAGGCATTACTAGCTACTATTATAATAGATAGTCTTTAGTCAGTAGGATATGCTTGGACAATTCGTGGGGATCCGCAGCTAGCGCCCGTTTCGAGTTTTTGTGATTAGGGCGCCGGACATGAACCTTGGCCTTGAAGCTGTCGAGACCATGAATAATTAACTTACCTTTGGAGGGTCCCTGATTTCATGGCTTCCGTCTAGGAACTCCTGCAAAAGATGGGTTTTGCAGCCGGAGCCATGCTTCGTCCACTGGCGCTCCTTGCTTGGCTCGATTGCGCAGCTGCAATGCCATCCTCATGCCGCGAACACTGGGAGGATCCACAGATGAGGGCACATCTCTTATGGCAGAGTCTACGTTGTGTGGGGCAGGCCGGCCCTCAGATCAATGCCCAGCGCTGCATGGGTATCGTGTGCAGTTGGACCGTTATCAAGGCGCAGACTCCCGAATGCGTGACGGCGGCCTCCTGCGCGGAGGCTTGCGACAAGGCGGAGGGTTGCAGTGACTTCAGCCGCTTCTGCGGCGCCATTACAACCCAGGGCACCACTTTCCTCCTTGCCACACAAGATCGACCTCTCGCAAACTCCACTGCTCTCATGGGCTCTTCGGCGACTACTTCGGCAAATCGCAGCTCGCAGGCTAATATTTCAGCGCACATCGAGACCCTAGTGCTCCACGATGCAGCAGTAAAGCACACGCCAGGATTCCCCAAGAACTTGGGCTCGGGCCTCGTGTTTTGCAGCGCTTTTCTAGTGATTTTGGGCTCATTCAAAGCCCTTACAGCCTTTTGGGCTAGGACATCCCGGCCCGAGGTGGCGGAGCCCTTGCTTGGCTAAGTAGGCTTGAACTTCTACTCCGGCGTTACCGGTAGTTAAGGGTTTTGGACGATACTGTGGGATGCTCCAGTTGTCTAAGTATTTAGTAGGTTACTATATGAATAGATTTGCACCCAGTAACCAATTCGGTAAGCAACCGGAGCCCTAGGGAATAAGGTGTCGGTATGCAACAGTTCCGAGAAGTGAAAAGCTCGCATGCGTTGGATGTTTCGGCGCGTCACCGGGTCCTTGAGGACGGGCTTCAGATCTCTTGTACTTGAAGGATTTGAGCATTGCGGCGCATCCGGGCCTTTGTGTGATCTGTGCTCGTTAATGACACAGGTGTCGGAACATCCGAAGCGTGACGAGAGAGGCCGTCTCCTTATGCAGCTCTGTAGAATTTACAAAGCTGCTCCTATGAATGACATCGTGGATGAAGGGGGCGCAGAGCCTTGAAAAGAAGACATCGTTCCCCTGGGGCTCCAAATAGCCCAAAGAAGGTCCTATTATAGACTTTAGAGCCCAAAGTAGGTACTATTTCCCAAAGGGTCCTATGTACCGATATAGCAGAATGTAGGGTTTCCATACTAGGAATTGCTATTATGACTTAGGGAAGTAGCCCCCATAACAGTACAAAGGACCCTTTGGGTTTGTATACTTGGAGCCCGAGGGTTCGGAAGGATGGATTCGCCGACACCGGGTTTTCCGGAGTCCTAGAGCCGACCTGAAGTAAACCTACAAGCCTCTACCTAGCCCTACTCAACCTATCGCTCTTTTTGTGTCGATTTAGCTTAGGCATATGGGCGTGTCCGAGAATTTGGGGTACCTTATTTTGCGGGGTCCTTATAGTAAGGATCCTACTATTTAGGCTGCTATACTAGGGTCCCCTGTTTTCTGAAGCTCTCATATGGTTCATACAAAGAGGTTGAAGCCCCAAAGCGGTTGGTTCAGGCTGTAGCCTTCAACGAAAACCTAGACATGAACCTTACCGCGTCCTCTTGGAGGAGATCTTCAAAGAATGGGGATCCTAGTAGCCCATCGCGCAGGCTTTGTCGGAGAGTTAGTTCTTCATGTGCTGAACTCACCACAGTGTTGAAGAGGCGTAGACGAAGCTCAATCATTGCTAAGACCCGGTCAAGATCATAGCAGCCTTGCGGCCTTATGCCCGATCGATGATGTATCATCAATATCCGCAGGTCCAGAGTGTTTAGGGCTCATAGGGGGAGCCAAAACCCTCCACCCGAAGCGGGAGTGTCGCTCGCATTCAAGCATTTGTGTTTTGGTGGTTGCATGCCGTGGGATCTTTCTAGAAATGCCCGCACTTGATGTACATCCTGATGAACAAGGCTTCATTTCTTGATAAGGGCAGTTGTCAAATTTGTGGTCCCTTCTTGGGTACCCTGAAGATTAGGTGCCGTCTTAGAATCGGGACCCAAAAAGGCGCCGCGCCATAATGTGGACAACCACCCTTAGATTCAACGGATCCTGTTATGGTCGTTGGCCTGGTCGAAGGCTTGAGGTTGTCTTGAGGCTAGTAATCCGACTAGGAAGTCTTATAGCAAGCCGTTTCGAAGCCTCTAACCGAACACTATTCTGATTATTGAGGCCCGAAATCAAACAGATGAGGTCGAAACCCTGAATTCCTGAACTACTATGTATAGCAACCCGTTCTTAAGTCATAACCCTAAACCCTCTTATAACAACCCAGCCGTATGTCGTAACCCTAAACCCTCTTATAGCAGCCCACTCTTAAGTCATAACCCTAAACCCTCTTATAGCAACCCACTTTTGAGTCGAAGCCCTAAATTCTCTTATAGCAGCCCATTCTTAAGTCGTGACCCCAAACCCTATAAAGCCTAAACCCTGATAAACCCTAAGCCCTAAAGCCTAAGCCCTGACAAACCCTAACCCTAAAGCCTAAACCCTTATAAAAAACCACGCCCTCAAGCCTAAACCCTGCTAAACCCTAAACCCTATAAAGCCTAAACCCTTATAAACCCTAAGCCCTCAAGCCTAAACCTGCTAGACCCTAAACCCTAAAGCCCATAAAGCCTAAACCATTCCAAACCCTAAGCCCTAAAGCCTAAACCCTTAAAAAAACTCAAAGCCCCAAGGGCCCATCCGTGCCAAGGTCTGGTTCAACCAGATCAAGTCGGTGAAGATGCTCCTCCAAAGGAAGGCAAAAGTCCACGCTCCTTTGCTGCCGATTGTGTTTTTTTGTTTTAGGGTTTAGGGCTTAGGGTGTTTAGGGCTTAGGGTTTAGGGTTTAGGGCTTAGGGTTTAGGGTTTAGGGTTTAGGGGTGTTTTTGCTGTAAATGTTCTGTAGGGCGTCGGATCGTGTTTTTGCTGTAATTAAATGTTCTGTAGGGTGTCGGGCTTATACGGTTCGGGTTGAAGGGTGGGGTTTGAGGGTTGGGGAGGTAGGGCTTTGGGTTTAGGCTTGTTGACTGCTTGTAGGCTTTACAAGCATTCAAGTGCTTAGGGTGTATGTGTTCTTCGTATATTATTCTGGCATATTGGGCCTAGGTAAGGGTTCAGGATTTAAGGTCTCGCCTGGGATTCCGAAATCTTGATGCTCGAAACCCTGACCTCCTCAAAACCTCAACCCACCCTCCCATATGTATTTCTTTACACATGCACCTATGGTACTCTTAGGCGGAACCCTGATAAAGCCCTTACAAGGGGCGCTTAAAATACCCAACTCTCATATGACTCAGAAGGAAATTCCAAAAGCATCTCTGCCCGAGGCTGAAAACAACGATAAGAACACCGCTCTGCACCTGGCGGCGATGCTGGGCCACGCCGGGTCCTTAGGGCTTAGGTGTTTGGGGGTTCGATCCTTAGGGTTTAGGGGTGCAGGGGCTTGGTCCTTAGGGTTCAGGGGTTTAGCGTTTAGGGTGTCTCAGGATGGGGTTCAGCGTTTTGGGGTTTAGGGTTCAGGTCGTCTTAGAAACATGCTCAGGGTTTAGGTTTGGTTTGCAGTGTTCTTGGAGGGGTGTGGTGTTGATGTGGACACGAATTACGGGACCTGTTTTTTGTTTCCAGTGTTGCATTTCCGCTGTATTCATGGTCATATGTAATACAAAAGGAGATCCGTCAAGATCCCCCGAGCATGCTTGACATCCTTCTCCACCTCAACACTCGGATTCTGGATCGGACTGTTACAAGGGTTAAGTCTGAGGTTTAGGGTGCAGGGCTTAGGGATGTCGCAGATACAAGCAACGATCCCTCCACCCAGCACGATGTATTCCTACCAATAACATCCCTCCTCACACCCTGAGCCCCACGCCCCAAACATTAATCCTTGCCCCCCTTTCAAAACGACAAGCCCTAAAGCAGAAGCCAGAAAGTTGGAACATCATTCTCCTCAAGCCCTTAAGGTAAAGTATAGGGGATCCCAGCACCAATCATCCTCAACCCATGTTCCAACTTTCTGGGATTCACTATAGCTCCCTAAACCCTAAATCCTAAACCCTAAACCCAAAACCTACGCCACGATGTATGCAGCTTCCTTGTCATAACCGAGGACGACATGGTTGAGTTCTTGCTGTATGAGCGCACGACCTTCCTGAAGATGAAGGAAAGATGGCTTAGGGATGTAGGGCTTGCGGGTTTAAGGGCTTCAGAGGTTGGGGCTTAGGGATGTAGGGTTTGTGGGCTTAAGGGCCCAAGGGCTGAACGTCTGTAGAGGTTGGGATCTGGGGTGTTGGGGTCCGGGTCTAGGGTCTTAGTGGCTTCGGGAATTCCGCTTTAAGGCTTAAGGGCTTAAGGGCTTAAGGGCTTGAGGGGTTGGGGTTTGGGTTGTTGGGCTTTAGGGTTTAGGGTCCGGGGGGTGTATTTTGAAAATTTTGGTTTAGGGTAACGTCTTTATCATGTTAGCAACTTGTTGTGACAATAACCGCCGATACTGCCGTTTGCTATCCTTCTAATGAAAACTTGTAAACATGAGCATACAGTATACCTAGATGCACACGAACATATGCCTGCTTGCACCTTTGCACATTGCGTGTATGCATATATATATATATATATATATATATATATATATATATATATATATATATATATATATATATATATGCATGCATACATGCGTACATACATACACATACCTTGACCCTAAGTAACCTACCTTTTTAAGGACTTATATAAAGAAATCATTTTAGGGAACCCTGAAAGGGTAGGTTCCTTAGGGTCCAGGTATACAGAGAAATATAGGAATAGATGCTTGCGCAGCCCCATCACACGGAGGACGGGACCTCGAAGAAAGACGGGGCGAAACGTGAAAACAAGCTCCTGGTGACCAGCTCCCCCGACGCAAGAGCACAGTAGGCATTTGGAATATTTATGGCTGGAGTTTGGGGGGGTTCGAGGTTTCAGGGTTTGGGGTTTGGGGCTTTATAGATTTCGGGTTTCATGCGTAAGGAAAGGGGTCTAAGGTTAAGCTTTCAGATCTAAGTGTTCCCCTCTGACGGGTCTGTAAGGGTTCCTTCAAGGAGTCCTGCAGGTGTCTTTATGGGATCCTTTAAGGGGTCTCTCAGGGGTCTTTAAAGTGTACCTTTATAGGGGTCCTTCCGGAATTCTTTATGATTTCCTCTGCCCCTCATACAGCCCTACACGTGCAACTCGCTAAAGCCCTGAACTCCACTCCCTGAGCTCTCAACCAGAGGTTTTGAAGTCCCAAAGGGTCCTAAGTACCTGTATGGTAGAATGTAGGGTCTCTATATTAGGAATTACTATTATGATCCGGGCAAGTATCCCCCATAACAGTACATGGGACCCTTTGGAAGTGCCTTTGTTTCGACCCAAAGGTCATGAAGCTTGAAAACTCTAAAGCCTTCCAACCGTGGAGAACCTTATAAAACCTTGTACCATCCTTACAGCCTCAAACCCTAAGCCCTAAACCCTAAGATCCTAAACCCCTAAGATCCTAAACCCCTAAAGCCCTAAGACCCTAAACCCTGAGACACTAAACCCTAAGACCCTAAGCCCTAAGACCCTAAAGCCTTAAGACCCTAAAC